GCCAGCAGGTTGGGGCAGCTCCGGGACAGGCAGGGCTTGATGGGGAGGAGTTGGTGGGACGTGGGGGGCGGGTTGGGCAGACTATTCCATGGAGCCCAGGCCTCTGCACAGGGGTGCTCCTGCTCCGTCCTCCTGTTTTGCCCTTGGGAAGGACAGATAACCTCCCTTCCCAGTGTGGACCTCCTCCGTTGGGAACACCTGCCTTTTATCCGCCATTCTATGATTCTCTCTCCTCTGCTCCCCTCCTGCTTTGCTCTCCCTTAGGCTTCCTTCCTTCATCCTCCCCCTGGTCCTCAGCACCCGTCTCTGTGGTCCTCTCTCCCCTAAGCCTCCTCCCCGATCCTCCCCAATCTCTTCTAATTTTCTTCCCCTGGTCCTTTTCCTATGAGCCTCCCTCCCCTGGTCTTCCCACCCAGGTCATCTCCCCCCGCCCCCTTCCCCAAAACAGAGAGCCAAGAGCCCCCCCCCCCCCCCCGCTGGTCGTGTTAAGTGAAGGAAGAAGGGGGAAGGCCGTGCTCAGAACATCCCTGGGCTCACACCGGGGAGACACAGCCCCCAGCCCAGGCCAGCTCCCAGTCTCACGGGGGAGACACAGTCCGATCTGAGGGGAGAGACAAAGCCTCTCCCTGGGAGACTGGACCACACTCACCCCTGGAGGAGATCACTTTAGAGCATTCAACATTAGGTACAAAGGGGTGTGGATTAATAGGGAGCGACTGGCCTCTCAGGTAAAGGACAGAGTGAGCAGGTGGGGCAGGGCCTGAGGGCCCTGGAAGGTGGGTCTGGAAGGCTAGAAGGAGCCGGGAGCCCTTTCAGGATCTGACTTGTGTTTCCTCAGGCTCTAGCGCCCCCTCAGGCAGTTTGCAAGGTAAAGTGGGGAGGGGGTGTGAGCCCCAGGCTGCTGCCCTCAGGCCAGGGAAGGGGGAGTGGAAAGAAGGAGGGAGGAGAGGAGGGAAGGACAGGGAGGGAGGAAAAGGGAAGGAGGGAGAGAAGGGCAGAGGGGAGAAGTCGGTCCTGTCGGACTGGAGCCGTCTAGCCCGCGGGAAGCAGCAAGAGTCCGCGCACATGCCTCTCTCAGGCCCGGGGTTCCCCTCCCCAGACTTCCTCTCCACCCAGGCCCTCCTCCCTTGCCCTGTCTTCCTGCCTGGGTCCTATCTGGGCTGCTCAGGCCTCTGGGTCCTTTTTGGGGAGGGGCCCTGGGCAGCTGATGTGGCTCTTCCCGGAAAGGGGAGGTGTTCTGGGTGCTGTGATGGGTCCATCCCAGGATGGAGGTTCCTGGAAACCAGTCAGAGGGAGGTGGCTGAGTCTGCTTGTCCCCGAGGAGAGAGCACCCAGAGACCCTGGTGTGTAAGGGGACACTTGGGGCCCCCCCCCACCTCTGACTCTTCTAACTGGGAGTAGACTTTCAGGAGCCCGGAGAATGTTCCCCATCTCCCACAGCCCCTGGAGTGGAGGGTGGGGCTCTCTTTGGAGCTAGACAAAAACCCTCCGTGGGTGGATCTGGGTGGGGTCGTCCTGGGGCCTCGGGTCCTGGGACAGAGGCGGAGGAAAGGCCAGAGGAAGAGGAAGATTCCACCTGAGGGCGGGTGTGGCTGAGGCCGTGCTGGCCAGGCAGGGGCCTGTGGGCTCCTCGGTGGCCCTGCCTCTCCCATCCCAGGCCAGGTCCCCACAGAGGAGAGGTGAGGAGGTCTCCGAGTCTGTAGTACGCGGAGAGGAGCGGACAGGTACCCTAGTGGCAGGGGTCTGCGGGTAGAGGGAAGGTCTTTGGGACCCCCGAAGGATTTGGGGCCCTCTCCTCATCAGCTAAGCCAAGGTCCCAGCCGGGAGCCTACCCCTGGACTCCTGGGTCTCTCACTTTCCTGACCTCACCTGATATGGACCCTTTTCCTTGGTGGAGAGGGGAGGTGGCCATGTTTCCTATTCAGGTCCCTGTCTCCACCCTAGTCATCACCGCCCAGCCTCCATCTTCCGAACGATTCAACGAGCCCTTTAGAGCACCTGCTGCGACCAGGCAGTGCCCTCAGTTTTGGGTGGGGTGGGGGGTGGGCACTGTCCAAGGGGGTGACAGTTAATGCTTGCCGGGGGAGCTATAGGAGCCAAGGTCAGCTGGGCTGATGTGGTATGACCTTTGTCAGTATTAATATGCATCTATTTTTTTTAAGTTTATTTATTTATTTAGGTAATCTCTACACCCAACGTGAAGCTCGAACTCATGACCTGGATATCGAGGGTCGAATGCTCTTCTGACTGAGCCAGTCAGGCGCCCCTTAACGTGCATTTATTGAACGTCAACTGTATACCAGGGCCCCCAGGTTACTCTACACTCTGAGGCTTCCATCAACATCACAGAACCCTCTCCCCACACCCTGGTTCTGATCAAATCTGAGGCAAGGCCTGTCTCTACTCCACCCGTGAGCACACTGGCTTTTCAGCAACCTCTGGAGAGGAGACCCAGGGCCTGTGGGCTTAGCCAAGCCTCGGCTGGCATGAATGCACTCTGGGGGATTCTGGCTGTTATCCCAGCCACCCCCTGGCTTCCTCCTCTGGTTGCCTCTGCCACTGTGCTCGACTCCCAGCAGCCTCTGGGGCTGGAGCTCTTCCTCCTTTTCTTCTCATCCTCCGTGTGGGCCAAGCAGCTGACGATTGCAGGGGCTGTGGGTCTGGTGCTTGGCTGCCAGGGGCCTCTCCCTGCCGGGGGTGGAGGACAAGCCCGGGCAGGAGGCGTCATGGCTGAGAGGACCAGACCTTCCTCCCCCCTCGCAGGGAGAGTGGGAGCTGCTGGGGCCCTGGCTCTGCTGTTAAAGCCCAGCCACCTCACCCGCCTGCTCACCACTCAAGTGCTGTGTGCCTCAGTTTCCTCTCCACACTGCTGGGAAGACGTGGTGAGGGCTGTCCCTGAGCTGTGTAGGAGGAATGTCCAGGTCTTCTTAGGCCAGATTTATTCATGCACTCCAGAGGGCCAGGGAGGCTTTCTGGGGTCTAACTCTGCCCTTTCACTCAGCATGGGAGGCCTTTCTGGGTTGGGGTGCCCTTGGGGATCTCTCTCCGGAGAGCAGAGACAAAGGTCCTGGGAGTAACCATTGTGGGGGAACAAGCCCAGACCGTGGCATGCAGTCTGACATCAGGCGGGAGGGAGCTTGAGGGGGCCAGATAGATGGTGGTGATGGTAGGTGAGGCCTTGGTGATTTTGGAGGGAAGAAGGAAGCTTCATAAACTCTCTGCTCCCTGAAACTGGGGCTCAAGACTAAGGTCTGGGAGCTTTGGAGGTAGGGTGAGGTCTGAGCTGTGGGATCTAGGAAGAGGCACTGCGGTGCCCCTGGCTGTGTTCCAGGTTCAGTGTGGAAGGCAGACACCCAGTGAGGCCTGCCTCAGGGGAGCAAGTCAGTCAGCTCCTGGGGGAGAGGGGTCCCCGGGAGTGTGGCTCCAGCAGGGATGGGTAGGGTCTGCACTGAGTGTTGCTTTGTGAGAGGCTGATAAGGTGGTACAGGGCCTGTCTCTGGCCCACTCTGGTAACCCCGGGTCCTCCCTGGAGACCATCCTGGGTGGCCAGGAAGTCCTCCCTGATGTCTCACCTCCTGAGAGAATCCTGGTGGTCCGGTCTTGTTCCCTCACCTCGGCTTCGAACCCCCTCTCCGTCCTCCCACCCTGGGACCCCCAGAATTCACAGGCAGGGCCGGAGCAGGGTTAGGTTGGGGTTCACCCCCTCTCTCCCAGATAGCTTGCACTGTCCCCACTTCCCAAGCGAGGAGAACATCTTCGCCTGAGAGGTCCCCCACTTTCTAAGCAGGAAGTCCTTCTTGCAGTCTAGCCTCAGCATAGGTGCTCAGGCCCGCAGGGAAAACCTCCCTCTCACCCTGTCCCCGTGTGTGGGCTGAGAGCCTAGGCCACCCGCACAGGAGGCAGGTTCGCCCTCCCCTGCCTGTCCCTCAGGCCCTGGCCACTCCTGGAAGCTCCCCATTCAGACAGGCCTGGTGCCGACGCCAGTGGCCTGGCAGCACCTAAATCGTTAGTGCCGAGGAGATTAGGCTGTAATCTCTTGTTGGGCACGGGCAGGAGCCAGTTGCCAGGATGTGGGGTGGCCCTGCTCCCTCGCTGGGGCGGCCCTTCCCCGGGGTGCGGCATGCTAGCGGAGGCACCGTACGGATCCTGCTTCACCTCCTCCAGGGCGCCCCTGGAGAGTGGCTTTCCTTCTCTGCTTCATTCTTTCCCCTCTGGTCTCAGACCCCTGACCCCAGCTTCCCCGATGCCCCCACCTCTCCAGATTCCCTCAAAGACCACGGGAGGCAGGAATTATCCCCATTTTACCAATGAGGAAACTGAGGCTTGTGAACTGACTTCCTGTAAGGCTTGGATCCAGAGCTCCCTCAGGCCAGCGGCAGTGTCCATTGCCCTCAGATCCCGATCCCCCAGGCCAGGGCCTGTGTCCCCTCCCACAGATGTGGACTCATCAGCTGGGGGGTAGAGGCGGAATCCCCCCCCCCCCCGCCAGGCCTAGGGGTGCTCTCTCAGGGCCACATTGTACCTGGGAGAGGGTGTCACTCTGAATCTCTCCACCCTCTCCCTGGGGCCTAGGAATGCTGGTTGAGGGGTCAGACCAGCCTCTGGGCTCTGGGCTCCAGGCCTGTGGAGCCTTGTTCCAGGCCCTGTCTGGCTCCCAGGGCTGGGTTCTCCGGACTGCCCCCAAGAATGAGCTCAGCTGCCTAATTGAGGCTGAGGACGGAGGTTCACCCTACCCTGGGGCTGTGGCTCCAACACCACCTTTGTTTCTGAAGACAATGGGCTGCTAAGAGGCCACCTGCCCAGGCCAGGAACAGGCAGGGGAAGGGGTCCCGGGGGATGCACTCGGCATGTCCAGCCTGAGCCCTAGGCCCTGGGTGGCTGGTACAGAAGCAAATTACATGGCTGGGGTTTTGGCTCTGACTTCAAGGGCCGGGGGCCCAGCCCCCCTTTAGCCTGGCTATAAAGGGCTGCCTGGGGTCTCTGTCCAGACCAGACCCTGCTCCTGACCTGTGGACACCATGGTTGCCACCACCACCAGCATCCGCCAGTTCTCCACCTACGGCTCCGTCAAGGGCCTGTGTGTGCCCGGTGGGGGCTTCTCTCAGATGTCCTCCGTTCGTGTTGGGGGCGCCTGCCAGGCCCCCAGTCTCCTGGGAGGTGGCAGCTGTGGCAACGTGTCGGTCACCTCATCCCGCTTCTCGGCAGGCTTGGGGGGTGGCTACGGTGGGGGCTACACCTGCAGCCTGGGTGGGGGCTTCGGCTCCAGTTTCGGCGCGGGCTTCGGCTCTGGCTTTGGCGCCTCGGACGCCCTGCTGGGGGGCAGTGAGAAGGAGACCATGCAGAACCTCAACGACCGCCTGGCCTCCTACCTGGACAAGGTGCGCGCCCTGGAGGAGGCCAACGGCGACCTGGAGGTGAAGATCCGCGGCTGGTACCAGAAGCAGGGGCCCGGGCCCGCCCGCGACTACAGCCACTTCTTCAAGACCATCGAGGAGCTGCGGGACAAGGTGTGTGGGTCAGGCAGCTCCCTGCCCTCTGCCCTCTGTCCTTAGTATCTGCTTTAGAGTTGGGATCCCTCCCAACTTTGAACCTTTTGGAACATTTCTTCTCTGCCCTGGGTCTCCCTCATTCATTTGTTCATTCATTCAGTCACTCTTCTCTCACTCGCTGGGGAACCCAGTCCTGTGCCAGTCCCAGGTCCCAGGACTGGAGGGCATCCTGTATGCAGGGAGACTGGAGTTCTCCCTTTGTGTGTGGGGGGTGTATCTGGGGTGAGTGATGGGGGAGTGGCTGGGGAGGCTTCAGAACCTTGAAGGCCGCAGAGGGCAATCCCGGTACAGAGAACAGTGTGGGCTAAGGCACAGAGGTGGGTGAGTTTGGCGTGGCTGAGAGGGCTGGATATCTCCTTCTTGCTATTCCATTCTGGCTCTCTGCCTGTCTCACCTCCTCCAGGCAGCCCTCCTGAATGGGTGGCACTTGCCTTTTATCCCCAGATCTTGGGGTCCCTTCAACACTTTGTGGTTCAATCTATGCTCTGTTCACTGCGCTGATTTCACGGATTCTGGCATATTCTCGCCGGTGGTTTCTTTGTAGGTCCTCTTCACTCTCTCCATAATGGTCACTCTGGGGGTCCCTGAGGGAAGGAGCTATGTCTTCCTACTCAGACTGGAAGCTTCCAGGGGAAGGCATTTCTCTCAGTTAGTCCGAAGAACACAACATGAACCCACATGCTCATGACCTCTAAGCGCAGGGCCTTGGCATTCTGTGAACGTGGCATCTGGGTCTTCTGCACAAGCCTTGCCCCTAGAGGGTCCTGTGGTGCCATAGCCCCCAGAGGCAGGCGAGAGTACGAAGAAATGTGGGGATGTTTAGGGGAGGCCAGGCTGGGGCCTGCTCTTCCCTGGTGGAGGAACCAGGTCGGGTGCTGCCCTGTGAGGGGCTTTGCCTTCTCCTGCCCGGGACCTCAGCCAGGAAGGGAATTCCTGCAATTGCCCCCTGGAATCAGAGCTCCTGGGAGTGCCAGATCAGATACCGGGCTTGGCCCGAGCAGTGGGGAACCCAGGGGAGTCCTGGTGAGTCAGCATTCCGAGCTTTGGGGTCAACCAGCTGCTCACCACCAACCCCCAGTGCACGGAGCATCAGGCCTCCACCCCTCTGAGTCACCGCACCCGTCGGGGGTTTTCACAAGGGCCCCTGCTAGGCCCAATCAGCCTCCTGAGCAGGGAAGTGGGTGGGAGGCGGGTCTGTAGGCCACTGAGGCCAGGGATGGGTAACAAACTGGCCCTTGGGCTCGCTCTGGAAACAGGGCCTGACCCAGGTCAAGGGGGCTCAGACGCCCAGAATGAGGCTATTGGGGCGACTTTTGCCTGCTGGGGCTGTCTCCTCTTACTTCTCTCTGCACGTCAGCCCGCAGCCTTAAAAGCGTCCTGATTCTTCCTAGTGCATCTGCCACCTCCACCGAGATCTCTCTCCTCTCTCTGGGCAGCGTTTAGGGGCCTCCCTCTCCCCCTCCCACCCAATGTCTCTTGAGTGGAGCCTCTTGGCATTTCTCACACAATGACAGCAGTAGTCATAACGACCGGCCCTCTGCTCCCTCCAGAGCCCCTTCCCTGTTCTCGTTTAAACCTCTCAGATGACCCTGTGGTGAAAGAAAGCTTTGCTCCAGGTTTCAGGTGGGGCTGGTCGTAATTTTACTAATTAATTAATTGGTTGCTTAATTAAACTATTGTTTCCTGTGGGCCAGGTACTTTGCCCAGGGCTAGAGATTCCGAAGAGAATGGTCACGGATGAGGCCTTGTCCCCCTGGAGTGCAGAGTCCATTGGAGGAAATAGCCAAAGAAATCATGGAAATATCACAGTTGGGAGAAGTGCAGTGAAAGAGATGGGCAGGGAGGAGGTGTGACTGGAAGGAGGGACCCAGATGGGGAGTCAAGGAGGGCTTCCTGGAGGAGGTGGCAACTGAGCCTAGAGGTCAGTTTAGTTGGGGAAGAGACAGTGAGTCCATGCAGCTTGGGCAGGAGAGGGGTGAATATGTATGGATCTCTCTCCTGGCCTCATGGCTACCTGTGCCTGGGTGTTGTGCTCCCACCATTTTGGGAGCCCCCCCGGCAGGGTGCACAGAGGGGGAGATCTCCTCTATTTGGCCCACTCTCCAAAGGGCTGCAAGGAGGGTGTTGCAGGGCCTTCCCACGTTGCTTGTTCACCTAGCCCACTATGCCTCCCCAGATCCTGGCGGCCACCATCGACAACGCCAGCTTGGTGCTGCAGATCGACAACGCCCGCCTGGCAGCTGATGACTTCCGCACCAAGTGAGTCTGGGCTTCGGGGCTGCCCCCCGGGGGCCGGTGGTGGGTTGGGCGCAGGCACCAGAGCTCTCTGTGTCCAAGGGGCTGTCCTGGGGCGCTCCTTGGCTCATGCCTCCACCCTTCTCAGGTATGAGACGGAGCTGACCCTGCGCATGAGTGTGGAGGCCGACACCAACGGCCTGCGCCGGGTGCTGGACGAGCTGACCCTGGCCAGAGCTGACCTGGAGATGCAGATCGAGACCCTGAAGGAGGAACTGGTCTACCTGAAGAAGAACCACGAGGAGGTGAGGCGGGCCCTGGGGAATGCAGGACAAACTCCTACAAGGAGCAAGGCCGGGGCCCCCAAATCCTCCTGGGCAAGGGCCACACCCTCAGTCCAGCGCCCATCTCTGGTGGGTTCCTGGCCCTGACCCTGGGAGACCCTCGGAGGGCCCTGCATGAAGCCTGGAGGGCCCTCTCCCTGCAAAGATACTGCCCTTGTCCCTCAAGGCACAGTCTGTTGAGTGGTGGCAGTTAATTATCTAATGAGCAAATCAGCCTAAGAACATGTATGCTAATTACTTTAATTAATTGTAATAGTGATAGTCATAACAACAACCAAAATCTGCTCAGCACATTACAAGTGATTCATGGCAATTATTTCAGCTGATACTGACAGTGGTGCTGGGGGCAGGGTGCTCTTTCCTCCCTCTACTCGTAAAGAAACAAGCTCAGAGAGAGGTTAAAGGATTTATCCAGAACCACACAGGTCTATCTGACTCGTAACCACACCCAGGTCTGAGGCCACCACTTTACCACCTCTCCCAGCTCCCTTTTTCAGAGAATCTTGGGGTCCTAGGGGCCTTAAGGCTCAACCCAAGGATGGGGATCCCAGACCCTGTAGGAGGACTGATGAACCCGCTGCTTCCTTCTCAGTTGACCTCTGGGCTGGCCTGCGCTAGGGGAGCCTAATCTTAGAGGAGCAGAAGCCCAGAAAGTGTTTCCACTTGGCTTTGAGGCTGGTCATAGGGATTGCATCCCCCCAGCAGAGTAACATTTCCTAATGAGGTCTGGCTCCACGCCGATACCAACATGGGGCTGCTTTCTCTGTGCCCGTACTGTGTGGTTGGTGGTGGGGCTAAGGCAGGCAGTCAGGGTGGTGAGTGAGACTGGCCTGGCTTACCCCCTGACATGCTGGGGAGTTAGCATCTCTCCTTGCCCAGCACACGTTGGAACTGGGCAAAGTCCATCCCCGAGTGCGTGTTGGGGAAGATGGTCCATATTCATAGCCCTGCGTGTTTGAGACAAGTCACATCTGCCTCCGTCTTCAAGGGGAGGAACCACTGGGTTGTCTGTGTCTCTCTGTCTGTCTGTCATCTGTACCTGTCTCCCTGAGGCAGAGAAAGTAGGCCCCGGGGTCTCTCTCTGGGAAGGCCCTGGTTGAGCTCCTGCTCTCCTCTTGCCCAGGAAATGAACGCCCTGCGGGGTCAGAACGGTGGGGACGTCAGTGTGGAGATGGATGCTGCCCCCGGTGTGGACCTGAGCCGCATCCTGAACGAGATGCGTGACCAGTACGAGCAGATGGCCGAGAAGCACCGCAAGGACGCCGAGGACTGGTTCTTCAGCAAGGTAGGTGGGCATGCGTAAGCAAGTGTGCACACGTGTGCATACGTGTGCTGGGTGTCGGGTACGGGCTGGAAAACTTGTAGGTCCACAGCCTGTCCCAGCTGGAAGGACCTTTGGAAACCAGTTGGACCCACTGCTCACGTCTAGATGCAGAATGGGAGGCTCAGAGAGGCCTCAGGCTCACACAAGCCACGCCGTGGCTTGGGGAACAGATCCAGATCTCGTCATCCCTGTCTAGGACTTCTCCCAGCACATTTGTAGGTGTGTGTGCGTTTGGATGAATAACTCATGCCCGTAGTAGACACACACTGAGCAGCTACGGTGCCCAGGACAGTAATAGGCACAAAGAATAAAACCTAGTTCCTGTCTTGGAGCAGTGCTCAGTGGGAGTATCGAATGCAAAGCGAGATGCATCTGCTAAGTGCCAGGTGGGCACAGAGGGTGTCTGTGTGCAGGTGTGTCTGCAGCCCCACAGGGGCCTGGGAGAGGTTGGGGGGCGGTGAGTGGGTCTGGGAGGTCAGGGCTCAGGGGTGGACCCTGTCCTCTGCCTCACCTCTGCAAGCCTTCTCCAGCCCCTGTCGCCCGCCCTGCCTTTCAGACGGAGGAGCTGACCCGGGAGGTGGCCACCGACACCGAGGCCCTGCAGAGTAGCCGGACGGAGATCACGGAGCTCCGCCGCTCCGTGCAGAATCTGGAGATTGAGCTGCAGTCCCAGCTCAGCATGGTAGGACCCCCGCCCCCCTCCCTGGCTTGTACACATCACCCAAGGGTGGGCCCAGCCTTGCAGACTTCCACTCGGAGAACCTGAATTCCCCACCCAGCCTGTCCCTTCACACTCAGCGACATGGGCCCCTCTCTGCCCTCGTTACTGCCCCAGGGCGCTGGCTGCACCCGCAGCCCCACACAGGGGGTCCCCCTTCTGGGCCCTCGCCCTGGAGAAGGGTCACACTTGGTTTCACCCGGCCACCTCTACTTTGGCCCACAGAAAGCCTCGCTGGAGGGCAGCCTGGCGGAGACAGAGGCCCGCTACGGGGCCCAGCTGGCCCAGTTGCAGGGGCTCATCGGCAGCATCGAGCAGCAGCTGTGTGAGCTGCGCTGTGACATGGAGCGCCAGAACCAGGAGTACCAGGTGCTGCTGGACGTGAAGACGCGGCTGGAGCAGGAGATCGCCACCTACCGCCGCCTGCTGGAGGGCGAGGACGCCCAGTGAGCGGGGCCCTGGGGCACGCGCTTGCTTCCGCGGGGGCCGCCGCATCCAGGCAGGGATGTTGTACTGAGGGGACAGCCCTGGCAAAGGCCAGGAGGCGCAGAGGTTTGCAGGAGGTGAAACCGAGAACACTGGCTGGGGTCCCACTGTTGAGGAGCGTTGAAGACCAAATGAAAGCATCTGGACTAGATCGTGTGGGAAGTGAGGAGCCATGGAGGGATTTTGCACAGAGGAGTGGTACTATCATCAAGATGTCTTAGAACATTCACTCTGGCTGCATAGGGAGAAATGCAACAGAGGGGAGCTGATGGGGTCAGGGAGACCTGCCAGGAGGCTTGGAGTGGGGAGTCCGGCCAGAGCAGTCCTACTGCAAGGCGGCGGTGGAGGGCGGGGAGAGGAAGGTGGTGTGTGAAGAGGATGTGTTGTAGTTAAAAACAGCAGGGCTAGTTGCCTGAATGTGGGGGTGAGCATGGCTCGCTGGTGGGATGCAATACGTGGTGAGTGACCACATGCAGGAGTGGAGAACGATGACCCTGGGTTTCTGGTTCTGATGACTGTGTGGTTGGTGACGCCATTACCTGGCATGGGAGAAAGAGCAGGGTGGGTGGTGATCTGGTTTGGAGCTGGGAGGGTAGATCAGGGCCCTACTCTCAAGTGGCTGAGAATGTCCTGGAGCCTCCACACTAAGTCACGCATTCCAGCTTTTTGCTTCCCGATGATAGTGCGGTCCACCTATAGTCTAACCACAGTCTCTCAAGCTTTAATAGAGTCTATTTGTTGGGCCCTTTGGGATATGGAAAAACCTCTTGCTCAGCTTCTCCTTGTAAATCTGTGGTTAGTCACAAAATGTCCCTGGGTCCTCTTTTGGGGTGTCCCCTTTCTTTTGTCCTGCCAACTAGGCCTGTGCCCTTTGACCCGTGTGGCTGTTAATCTTTTCTGTGTATTCTCAGCTGTGATTTCTCTCTGGTTTGCCGGGACCTCTCTCCCCTTGCTCCACACCTCCCCAGCTGCTCTTCCTTCAGGGGACCGGGCTCTGTGCCGGCACCCCTGCCCTGACAGGCCCCCCTCTCCCTCCCTGCAGCCTGGCCACCCAGTACTCCTCTTCCCTGATCTCACAGCCCACCCGGGAAGGTAAGAGCCTGCCCCATCTGGCCTGGAGGGAGTGGGAGATGCCGAGGACCCTTCTGTGCAGGAGACTGGGGGAGGGGCTCTGACCTGAGGTTCCCTGTGTTCCCTCCTCTATGGCCCACAGCCACAGTGGCCACCCGCCAGGTGCGCACCATAATGGAAGAAGTCCAGGACGGCAAGGTGGTCTCCTCCCGAGAGCAGGTCCACCGCTCCACCCACTGAGGCCCCTTTCCACCTGTGACGGCCCAGCCTCGAGGGTCATGGGGTAGCCCCATCGCCTCGGGCTCCCAGCATGCTACTGCCGCACCCCGAGTGCCCATCTGGGCCACCACCCAAATGCAGTTGCCTTTCTGTATCTGCTTTCTGCAGCCCCTCCCCGAGGGGGCCTCCTGGAATTGCCCCAGTGACTGCTATTAAAGCTTTGCCTGAAGTTCAATGCCTCGTGTGATCTGGTCTGGCCATTGGCGTAGGGCAGTGTGTGCTGAGGGACTGGGGGAGGAAGATGGTTTGTGGAGTGGTTGGACGCCCCTTGTCACGGGCCAATCTGTTCTGCCCACCTCCTCCAGGCCTGGGGCTCCTGGGAGGGCCAGAGAGAAGGCAGCAGAGTGAGGGCAAAGGGGTGGGACAGCCCATCAAGCTGGTAAAGTTTCTTAAGAATCAGCCCGTGGGTTCCTGTGGGTCCCCATGGGCTGGTCCCTAGGAGGGCCCCACGGACTTTCTGCGGAGCCCCGCCTGTTACAGGGAACTCCCTGCCTCAGCCTGGGGCAGGTCTGTGTTCAAGATCAGAGGGAGGGGGGCTGGGCAGGGGGTTTTCCCAAGGTGTGGTCCAAGGTGCTGATGGACGAGAGGGGGTGGCAGTGGTAGAGCCAGCCCTGGAAACCAGCTCGGCCCCGCTTGGGGTGTGTGTGGGGCGGGGTGGCCGCTCTGTGTGTGAGCGTGGGGGGCGTCCTGTTTGCTTTGGTGGCTTGGTAGCGGCTGGGCTGTGGGGGGACCTCTCTCAGCGGCTGGCAGGGGCTGTCTGGGCCTGTCTGGGACATGGAAGCCATCAGCAGTCTGAGACATGACCACATTCCATCCAGCAGGCCTGCGGGGACCCTGGGATCCAGGGCCAGGCTGGGAGTGGTGGGCAGGGCAGGGCGGGGCTGTGGGTGGTGCAGGGCCCATCTTGAGGGGCCCCATCAGGGGCCTGGGTGGGCCTCTGGGGGAGGCTTCAGGGGAGGAGACCGGCTGGGGATTCTCAGGAAGACCCTTAGTCCGTGTCCTTTCCATTTCCAGCTGGCCGGGACTTGAGTATATGCCCCTCACCTCACCCTGAGGCCTCTTCGGGCACAGGAGGGGTAAGGAGGGTGGCAGGTGACATGGCCCTCACCGTTTTTCCAGTCCCCTTTTACCAGGTTGCTCTCCTCCCAGCCTGCCAGGTCCCCATCTACAGCCACACTCTTCTTTGCCCGCCCTGGCCCAGGACACTCCCCTACAGCAGGGTGGTGGGGAAATGTTAGAGGAGGCTGGGTCACCGGGGTTTCCGGGGATAGGGCAGTGTCAGAAAACTGGGCCGATGGAATCCTAACTCCTGGCGTGTTTTGCTGGTGTCGGGGCTCCGCAGAGGGCGGGGTCAGTGTGCCGGGCCCCGGGGGGAGTGCCGGGTGCTGGGGCAGAGTGGGGGATGAAGGAGGCAGGAGCCCCGCCAGCCCCGTTCTGCGGTTAGGTGGGGGCAGTGGGGCCCTATCCCTCTCCAAGCCCCAGTTTCCTTATCTGTAAAATGGGGTGGTAACTCGAGAGGCACTGTATTGTGTGGTGAGCCCAGTGGGTTTAGGTCCAGTTTCCAAGGCGGGACAGGGTCTCGGTCCTCGCTGCCTCCCCGGCCGCCGGCCCAGGGCCAGGACTGCGTGTGGTGTGGTGTGTGGTGGAGGAGGGCGGCCTCAGGCTGGGGGCTGCCTGGTGCCCCAACCGGTTTCCCCACCAGACACAGGGGCCACATGGGCCGGGCTGGGGTGGCAGCTGCCTGGGAGGGCCTGGTGATGGTGACGTCCTGCCTCTCCTCTTCTCCGTATTAGGTCATGGGAAAGCATAGCTGGAGGGCCTGCCTGAATCACAGGTGACAGGCCTGAGACCAGAGACACACAGCCACGCGTGCAGACACCCAGCACCAGGGTTCGGAGAAGTGAGGCAAAAGCCCGATGGTGGGAGGGGAGGGGGCCCACAGCCACCCGGGAGCTGGCGGGCAGCCAGGGGTGATGAAAGCTCAGGGGAATGGAAACAGAGGAGTGAGCCTGTTGTAATCGCTACGCCCACCTGGCGGCCTATAAAGGAGGCGGGCGGGCGCCAGCTGCAACTCGCACCTCGGGCCTCACTCGTCTCTAGTCCTCCTGCTCCGTGCCAGCCGGCCACCACCATGACTGCCACCATGACCACCACCAGCCGCCAGTTCACCTCCTCCAGCTCCATCAAGGGCTCCTCCGGCCTGGGGGCCGGCTCGTCCCGCACCTCCTGCCGGCTGTCCGGCGGCCTGGGGGCCGGCTCCTGCAGGCTGGGGTCCGCGGGGGGCCTGGGTGGCGCCTTCGGGGGCGGCAGCTATTCCAGCTGCTACAGCTTCGGCTCTGGCAGTGGCTTTGCGGGCGGCTTCGGGGCTGTCGACGGGCTGCTGGGGGGCGGGGAGAAGGCCACCATGCAGAACCTCAACGACCGCCTGGCCTCCTACCTGGACAAGGTGCGTGCCCTGGAGGAGGCCAACACCGAGCTGGAGGTGAAGATCCGCGACTGGTACCAGAAGCAGGCCCCGGGGCCTGCCCGTGACTACAGCCATTACTACCAGACTATCGAGGACCTGAAGAACAAGGTAGGGGCTGCTGGTGGGACAGGGCCTGTGGGGGGAGCATGACTTCTCCTCTCCCATCTTCTGCCCTTGACCATGGCCTGGAGTCAGCCCGGGGGGGGGGAGGGCTGCCACAGGGTCTCAGGGAGCCGAAGACAGTGTGGCTCTGGCTGGTTTGGCCTCTGGGAGCCCACGTTGGAGCCACCGTGTGGCCCACATTCCTCTTTTTGGGGTGCAGCAGCTGGGCCAGGGACAAGCAGGCCTCATGGAGCTCCTTTGAGCCTCAGTTTCCTCATCATGGGGCTTGTTGCCACCCCCTCATGTAATTGTAGGATAAGACGAGTGGATGCATGTAGAGGCTGGGCTCATGGGGCGGCCAGATTTGTGGGTACCTCTCTTCTTGAAGCAAGAGGGGGATGGTGGGGTGAGGCGTCTAGTGAGTTCCTGATGGCACCTGCTGGGAGGAGGAGGTGGAGAGAGGGGGCGGGAACTCAGGAAGGCCTTTGTGTGCCTTACTTAGGGATTTTTGTGGCTTCCCCATCCCTCCCACTGCCCCCTCAAGAATGGGCCTCAGCAAACCTCCAAGGGCAGAGGTGCTTGCTGGAGTCTGGGGTTAGGGCCTAGCCGGGGTCATGACTTCTGATTTGGAACTGTTCTTTGGTGAGGGGTCCTGTAGGGTCCCTTCTGGAGGAGCCTCTCGGACACCATCTCCCCAACTGTAAAATGAGGGGTTGTTCACCTCCCCGTCTCTGTCTGGGATTCTGGGACAACTTCTTCCCCCCGGGGGCCTTTCTTCTCTTCCTAGCTGGGCACTCCCGGCCGGCTGCCTGCTCTAGTTGAGGGGTCTGTGTTGGGGGGAGGCAGGTCCTGGGGGGAGAAGAGGCAAATTTCGGCCCATCAGACTCGGGTTGGCTCTGCCTCTGCCAACGATTAACTCCCGGTAAAGGTGAGAGGCTGGGCAGGAAAGGAGCCTTCCTGGAGAAGGCAGCCACATCCTGGCCTCCAGGCAGGAAGCTCCATCTCATATCCCTGGTCTGGGCTGAGCTACTCCCTACCAGTGACCTTACCGCTTTCCCGTCTCCCCAGATCCTCATGGCCACTGTGGACAACGCCAACATCCTCCTGCAGATTGACAATGCCCGCCTGGCCGCTGATGACTTCCGGACCAAGTGAGCCTAGCCAGCGGGCTGGGAGGAACTGGGGCACCCCTCCGCACCCCAGGACCACAGTTGCTGTGGCAAGGGCTAGGAGCTGGGGGTGGGGGAATCCACCTCTTAGTCATGCAGGTGGCAAATGCAGCAGATTCTGAAGGTCATGGGCTTAGGCAGGGAGGCGGAGGGGAGAGATGCAGGAAGCTGGGTGCGGGTGGGGCCTTGCCCTGCGTGGTCCCAGGGCCCTGGGGCTGCAATATGCTTCCACTCCACAACCCCCTTCTCCACCCTCCATCAACCCTCCCAAGCTCTTAGAGCCCTGGCAGAGGCCGGGTGCTGGCCAGGACACAGACCTGCACGTCCTAGCATCAAGACGAAGTCTCTGGTTCCTTTTGCAGGTTTGAGACGGAGCAGGCCCTGCGGGTGAGCGTGGAAGCTGACACCAACGGCCTGCGCAGGGTGCTGGATGAGCTGACCCTGGCCAGAGCCGACCTGGAGATGCAGATAGAGAACCTCAAGGAAGAGCTGGCCTATCTGAAGAAGAACCACGAGGAGGTGAGGCGGTGGGGCAGTAGGTCAAAGGGGCCGCAGAGGGGATGGCAGGGCTCTGGGGCTGCACCAAGGCTGAGACCGGAAGAGCACAGAGCAGGTGCTCCAGGGTTGGTTGCCTTACAGGGCTGCCCTGTCTGCGAAGCCCTGGTCCCCATGCAGGGTAGCTTCCTCCATGTACCACTTTGCTGCCCTGCCCCTGGGGACCCTCCCACGGTCCACAGAGACCTCTTCTGCCCATCCTGGCCTCCCTCATGAGGACAGGGGGTAAGTGAGGAGGTCTCTGTTCCAGGTCGAACCTTTGGACCTGCACCCTATGTGGAAGTTGGGGAACTAGAGGGGATATTTTAGGGGCACAGGCCTAAGAATTAGATTTTATCTTTGGAGAGCCCTCGGTCTAATGGGGGAGACACAGAACCTCTCCTCAGGGAACCCGCAGACTGATAATGGAGGCAGAGCCCGTACCGAGCAAACGAACAAGGGCCAAAAAGAGGGGCGGAGGGCAGGGGATGGGCAGAGCGAAGGAGGGCTCCTCAGGAGGGGTCTGGAGAGCTTGCCTGGGAAGGGTTGGAAGTAAGGGATCAGCACAGGCCCGAATGCCCACACCCACAACCCCCTCCCCCGCAGGAGATGAGTGCCCTGCGAGGCCAGGTGGGTGGTGAGATCAACGTGGAGATGGACGCCGCCCCCGGCGTGGACCTGAGCCGCATCCTGTCTGAGATGCGCGACCAGTACGAGAAGATGGCGGAGAAGAACCGCAAGGATGCCGAAGACTGGTTCTTCAGCAAGGTGGGGGCTGCTGCGGGCCAGGGGCCTCTCCCAGGGTATGGGGGGCAAGGACTGAGTCCCGACGGATGCCTAGTACCTGGCATCTTG